GGGTCGACTGGGAACTTTAGCGAGAGCGTCAACTGGAGGCGGCGCGGGCCGTACCACGCGCGGGCTGGGCGCGGGGTGGCCGGGGCGCCGCGGGCAAGCGCGGGCGGAGGCGGCGCCGGCGTTCGGAAGGTGTGGGCCGGACCCCGCGGGAGGCGGCGAGGGAGCGGGGCGGCGCGGGCGGAGCGAGCGGCGCGAGCGGCGCGAGCGGCGCGATTGGCCCTCGAGGCTCGACTGGGAACTTTAGCGAGAGCGTCAACTACGCGGCCGGTAAACAAGAGGGTGGAAACCGTCCCCGGTCGCTCCGCCTCGAAGCGGAGGACTGACCAATGGACGCGGCCGCTAGGAGCGAGACGCGCATCCTCCAATCGCTGGCCGAGGCGTAAGGCTTCAGCCAATCCTGGGTGAGGGGCCAAACCAATGCGGTCGCTGTTGGAGGGGGGAGGCCTGCGGCGGGGAGCGCGGAGCTTCTCCTCCCGGGGAGCCGCCTGGGGAAACGAGACCGAAATCCACAGGGCTGTCTTCGTCAGGACTTCGCCTTATTGCAATATGTGTTATCTCCGCATGGCGTCTTGACCAAAGTTTCGGCCCAGAGGCCCGCCTCCCGGGACGGAAGGCGGTCCGGCCGCCTTGAGGCGGAGGGCCCGGGTGGGGTCGTTCCCCGGTGGAAGCTGGTGGCTCCTAACTCTTCCCCGGCGCCCCTCGGCCCGCCAGTGGCCCTCCCTGTCGCCGTGTCCACGTGCCTGGCGTCTCGGCGGCGGCCACGAACAGGCGTTGGCGAGCTGGGCAACCTGGCCCTTGCTCTTTGCCCTGGTTGACCGCGGGCTTCTGGCCTTGGCCTGTGTCCCCTTGAGCACAGGCTTCTATCCACGAGCTCTTCACCAAGTCCCTGCCTCACAGCCTCTGCACCTGGCCGTGGTTGGGCCTGGGAGAGGCCGCCCTCCTGGTTCTGAAGTTCCAGCTTGCTTGTTCATAGCATTCCCACCTCCACCATGATTGTGGCACCTCCGCCTTCCCGAATTTTCTCCATCAATCCACCGTATCTTACGGCGTCATATTTTTTCCCCCACATCACTTGCCAAAGTCCAAAATAACAATTGTTTGGAGTTTTGCTTGTACCACTTAAGTAAAACTGAACTTTGTTGTGGCCTGTTTGTTACCTAGAACACTTCTAGCACCATAGTGGACAATCTCTATTTCCATTAGTTAAGGTGGTAATCTTTTTGAAGTTCAACTTCTGTTTTTATGATGTGGAAGCAAGTAAGGGAAAAAGCCCTCCCTGGATGGTTAGATTAGTGGAATAATGTATACGATGGCCTGTAATGATAACTGGTGCTGGATATTTGGGAGCCTCAGCTGTTAGTATCAGGGCTTCTTCCTCATCTCGCCATTTGCTTTTATCCCTCTCGGCAGATGGCCCTGATTCCTGCTTCTTGAAGATAAAAACCGTTTAGCTCCAGCAACCTTGTCATTCTTCTCAAAAGTTTTTCTAGCTACCATCCTTCTTGTGAAAATGCTCCGGCACCCAAAGGAAAAGGAGGCCTTCGTCCTTTCTAAAACAAGCCCAAGGATGCCTGGCATCGTCTTACTACTGCCTAGAGTGTCCTTGCCTCGCCGTACTTTAGTTCTTCCTTCCTGCTTTCAGACTGGACTGGACCTGACTTAGCCCTAAGAATGGACAACCTTCACTTGACCGCTCTGAAGCTGTTTCCCTCTGACTGCAGCTTCCACAATGCGCAGACAAATCTGCACTTGTTCCTCCCCTTTGTCCAAGATCTCCTTGATAATTTCAGTCACCACCAGCCCCCCTTTTTTTTTCCCCCCCCACCTTTTTTTTCTGGAGGTTGCTAGAAAAACTAAATGAGATAATCCATGTAAGGCCTTCAACATAATGCCTGGCGCAGGTAAGAGCTATTATTAGCCACCAATCAAAAATAACAATGACTCGCCATTAACTGCAGCTTCAAAATCCAGTGAGCTGCCTGATGCCAGTGTAACCTGCCACAGCCCCAGCCTATTACCCAGTGCTGTCACAGTCAGTGTGAGCAGGGAACAACTCATTTATGCTCCACCCCATACTGTTCACTTTTCCTGAGCATTCAGCTTTGTCTCTTCTAGAAACAGGACAAATGGTATTTATTGATAATGCCTGAGCCTGTACACATACACAAAATACCAACCCTATGTAGCTACTTAAAATTGATGTGAGATCAAAAATTTAGTTTAACTATATTAACCACATTTCCGACCCTTGGTAAGCTACCCGTGACTAATGGCTACTGTGCTAATGGTATGGAATGAAGATTTTCCTCCCTGTTGCAAGCCTTAACAGTGCTATTGAGGCCATGAGCGCAGGGTATCACTAGGCCTCACCCCACAGCAGCATGCATTCTGCCCCCCATTTCTAGTGCAGTTTCTAGCTGACTACACCTTGCATACTGGCTGTCTAATTTATTGTCCACTTGACAAGGAGAGCTACTTGCAAAGAGGAGCCTCAACTGAGAATAATGTGTCCATCAGATCGCTGTTAGGCCTGCAAGCAAGCCTAACAGAAATTTTGTTTGTTTGATTAATGATTGACGAGGGAAAAACCAGCTCACAGAGTGGTACCTAAGACAGTGAGCTGAGCAGGTCAGTGAGCAATACTCCTCCATGGCCTCTGCTTGAGTTCCTGCCTTGGGTTCCTGTCTTCAGGTCATGCCGACTTCCCCTGTGGAGTGTTCTAAGCTGAAATAAACACTTTTCTTCCCAGGTTGTTTTTGTTTGTGGTGCTTTATCATAGCAATAATAACTCTCACTAAGGCATTTACCTAACTGCATTGGTAGGTCCCAGATCAGAGCTGACTTTCCCTTCTCTTTGAGTTAAATAGGAAAAGTGCCCTCAAGTGTTGCTAAAGATCCAACTTGAGAAGAAAGATAGTACTTGGAAGGTAGGAGACTTTTATGTTCTCCTTTTGCAGGGATCTTTTCACCTAGTTCGTAACTGTGTTAAGCCTAAACACTGAATTCTTAACAAATGTAAGTGGGCATCACACCAAGAGCTGTGCTCCAGACTGAATAAAAATGAGATGCCAGCCGAGTGGCAGGGCCATTCTCTCTGCCTGTGGACTACGACAACAACGTGACAAGCCACCTCACACTCCTGCTGCCGTGACTTTCCTACTGTATGGCTGTACGTTTAATTTTGAGCCAAAATAGATCATTCCTTGCATTGCTTTGGTCAATACTTTGTTGCAACAAGGCAATTAACTAATATAGAGTGGGGAACTTTTTGTCTTTTCACCGAATACCTATTAGTGTCAAGGAAACTAGAAATACAAATAGGTAAACAAAACTCCTTAGAAATCCCAAGACCTGGGATGGGGGTTTGGAAGAACAGCTTTGGGATGGATTTCCCTGGTTATTCCCATGAAGGCTCCTCCATGTGCATTTTTACCAAAGAGAGATTTCATTATATTTACTGCTTTGTTTTATTGTGAGAAATGGTCTGGTGGGGAGGAATTTTGTTTCAGAACATGGCTGTTCTGGCAAGAGATCACATCCAAAGGCCTTCTAGGTCTGTGTGATTGGGCTGGAATACAAACATGCTTTTACTCCAGGAGACAGAGGCAAGCAGATCTGAGTTCAAGGCCAGCCCGGTATTGAACAAGTTTCAGGTAAAAGAAAAGCTTAGATCCAGATGTGGTGGTCCAGGCCTTTAATCCCAAACAATGAAGGTAAAGTTAGTTTGAAAGTGATGTCTAAATGAGTGGCAGAAAAGGTAACAAATCAGAGAAAGACTTGACAGAATGGGATACGCCCAACTCTCACGAGAAGAGAGAGGAGAAAGGGAAGCTATTTAAGGGGCAATGCGAAGAGGAGAAGCAGTTTACCGAGACAGTGATAGAAAATAGGGTTTCAGAGAGAGAGAGAGCTCTGGTGAAGACCAAATGAGCCACTGAATGATTTTGAAGGGGCCAGGAGATTAGAGCAGAGTGCTTGAGTTAGTTGGAGGCCAAGCAGTGCAATTCAGAGGCCCAGAGAAAAGTCAGATTGAATAAGTTAGTTGGGAGAAGAGTGAGCCAGAAGAGTGAGCTGAGCTGCACCAGCCAGCCCAGAGCTCAGAAAGAACAAGAAAGGGTGAGCTGATTAAGCAGGAAGTCTAAGAGGGTGAAAAACATTCTAGGTTAGATTGTACCTCCTAGAAGCTTCCAGGACTCAGCTTATGTTAGCAGAAGGAGGCAATAAGCCTCCCAGACATCAAGTGGACCAGGAGAATAAAAGTTCCTTTTATAGACAGGTATATCCCAGACTGGACTCAAACTTGTTTTGTAGCCAAAGATGAACTTGAACACCTGAACTTCCTGCATCTACGTCTCCAGTGCTGGCACTTCTGGGATTCCAGATGTATGCCACCAAAACAGATTCCATTTGGTACCCAGGGTTTTGTCCGTTCAACCAACTGAGCCACATCCCCAACTCCATTTCACTATTTTATAAATCGCCTTGTTGTCCAGTAACAACAAGGAAAAAAAAAAAACAGAAGTTTTTGCTTTTTAAATAACTCTTTTGCCTTGTTCAGTGAGTGAAATACTTTCTGTGCATGCTTGAGGACCCA